TTCTGAAGAAGAAGAAAAAGGAGATTCTGAAGAAGAAGGAGATTCTGAAGAAGAAAAAGGAGATTCTGAAGAAGAAGAAGAAGAAGAAGAAGATTCTGAAGAAGAAGAAAAAGGAGATTCTGAAGAAGAAGGAGATTCTGAAGAAGAAGATTCTGAAGAAGAAGAAGATTCTGAAGAAGAAGAAGGAGATTCTGAAGATGATTCTGAAGAAAAAGAAGAAGATTCTGAAGAAGAAGAAGAAGGAGATTCTGAAGAAGAATTCTGAAGAAGAAAAGAGATTCTGAAGAAGAAGAATTCTGAAGAAGAAGAAGAAGAGAAGAAGATTCTGAAGAAGAAGGAGATTCTGAAGAGAAGAAGAAGGAGATTCTGAAGAAGAAAGAAGATTCTGAAGAAGAAGAAGAAGAAGAAGAAGAAGAAGAAGAAGAAAAAAGAAGATTCTGAAGAAGAAGAAGGATTCTGAAGAAGATGATTCTGAAGAAAGAAGAAGATTCTGAAGAAGATTCTGAAGAAGATTCTGAAGAAAAAGAAGGATTCTGAAGATGAGAAGAAAAGAAGGAGATTCTGAAGAAGAAGAAGAAGAAGAAGATTCTGAAGAAGAAGAAAAGGAAGATTCTGAAAAAGATTCTGAAGAAGAAGGAGATTCTGAAGAAGGAAGATTCTGAAGAAGAAGAAGAAAGGAAGATTCTGAAGAAGAAGAATATTCTGAAGAAGATTCTGAAGAAGGAATTCTGAAGAGAAGAAGATTCTGAAGAAGAAGAAAAGGAGATTCTGAAGAAGAAAGAGATTCTGAAAAAAAAAAGGAGATTCTGAAGAAGAAGAAGAAGAAAGAAGAAGATTCTGAAGAATATTCTGAAGAAGAAGAAGGAGATTCTGAAGAAGGAGATTCTGAAGAAGAAAAAGGAGATTCTGAAGAAGGAAGAAGAAGATTCTGAAGAAGAATATTCTGAAGAAGAAGAAGAAGGAGATTCTGAAGAAGAAAAAGGAGATTCTGAAGAAGAAGAAGAAGAAGAAGATTCTGAAGAAGAAGAAAAAGGAGATTCTGAAGAAGAAGGAGATTCTGAAGAAGAAGATTCTGAAGAAGAAGAAGATTCTGAAGAAGATTCTGAAGAAGAAGAAGGAGATTCTGAAGATGATTCTGAAGAAAAAGAAGGAGATTCTGAAGAAGAAGAAGAAGAAGAAAGAGATTCTGAAGAAGATTCTGAAGAAGAAGAAGGAGATTCTGAAGAAGGAGATTCTGAAGAAGAAGAAGAAGAGGAAGAAGGAGATTCTGAAGAAGAATATTCTGAAGAAGAAGAAGAAGGAGATTCTGAAGAAGAAAAAGGGGATTCTGAAGAAGATTCTGAAGAAGAAGAAGAAGATTCTGAAGAAGAAGAAAAAGGAGATTCTGAAGAAGAAGGAGATTCTGAAGAAGAAAAAGGAGATTCTGAAGAAGAAGAAGAAGAAGATTCTGAAGAAGAAGAAAAAGGAGATTCTGCAGAAGAAGGAGATTCTGAAGAAGAAAAAGCAGATTCTGAAGAAGAAGAAGAAGAAGAAGATTCTGAAGAAGAAGAGAAAGGAGATTCTGAAGAAGAAGGAGATTCTGAAGAAGAAAAAGGAGATTCTGAAGAAGAAGAAGAAGAAGATTCTGAAGAAGAAGAAAAAGGAGATTCTGAAGAAGAAGGCGATTCTGAAGAAGAAGATTCTGAAGAAGAAGAAGATTCTGAAGAAGATTCTGAAGAAGAAGAAGGAGATTCTGAAGATGATTCTGAAGAAAAAGAAGGAGATTCTGAAGAAGAAGATTCTGAAGAAGGAGATTCTGAAGATGATTCTGAGGAAGGAGGAGGAGATTCTGAAGAATATTCTGAAGAAAAGAAGGAGATTCTGAAGAATATTCTGAAGAAAAAGAAGATTCTGAAGAAGAAGGAGATTCTGAAGAAGATTCTGAAGAAGAAGAAGAAGAAGAAGAAGAAGAAGGAGATTCTGGAGAAGAAGAAGAAGAAGAAGAGAAAGAAGAGGGAAAATGTTCCTAACCTTTTCCAAGTAATCCATAAGATAGCCTTTAAAGGGCCCAGAAACAAGAAACATCTCACATCTGGCACTTTTAGTATTAAAAAAAAAAAAATCCTTACCCCTTTCCATTCCCTATCCTGTCTCCCCTACCCTGCTACCCAGGCTGATGATCCCTTAATCGGCCGTAACACACAAACCTACAACCAGTGTTGCCAGATTGCAAAAAACACGAGCGCTACTAAATTTTCATTTTCGCTATTTGTAACTTTCGGGGTTATTTTTTATTTTTAATTAAACCAGGCTTACAAGTGATGCTAACAGAAAAAAAGAAAGCTAATTCTAAATTTACTACCACTGCGCCATCAAATGCACTTGAATTCGTTAATTATAGCACAATTTATCAACATTGGCCAGGACGAAGGCCAAAGAGGGAGACATTAAGTGGGGGATCTGTTTTGCTTTGAAATAATGTCATAAATCGATCCCCCAGTTTTTTTACCATGGTAGGTTATAAATATTTTCTTAACTCGGTGACTTTTGAAAAGCCAGCGCTACCAAATAATAAATTTTCCGAACTTTTTGTTTTAGCGTTACTTTTAAAAACTGCGTGTACTTACGTGTGTGTGTGGATGCTTTTAACTATCTCAATTTGCTACATGCATTCCAAGTTGACATTAATATTTGATTAGCAAACAAGTGGATATTAAATGGGGGTCGGTTTTGTTTCGCAAACAGGTCATAAATAGATCACCCACTTTTTGCCATAGTAGGTACTATACATCTCTCTACACTAAAAGATATACTTGGAGGCAGGGTTCACCAGATTGAGTTAATTATGAAAACCCAGCACAATTAAATAATAAATTTCACGAACTGTGTGTTTTAGCGTTACTTTCAAGAAGTGTGTGTACGTTTGGGGAAGTAATTATCTCAATTTGCTACTGGGATTCCAAGTTGGCATTATTTAAATCATTAATATTTGCACTATTTACATTAGTCGGACTATTGTCCTCATCTTTGTTGCCATATTTATCACAACGTTTCGGCCGTTGTACGCTCTGGCCTTTTTTAGGTGGTTGGAATGTCGAACTGAACCCTTTATTTTGCTAGCTAGACTGTTCTAGTTCCACGTGCCATGTCTAATGGATGTCAGTTATCTCCTGTTAATTCCCCTCTCCAAGTTCTCCACTGCCTTAACCGGGTATTGAACTCATAACTCCTTAAGGACACATGGCACAGTGGATAAAGGCGTTGGTTGGATCCGGTGAGAGGACCCAAAGAGTTGTGAGTTCAATACCTGTTCAAAAGTTGCCTGATTTTATGTTATGTCTTCATTGCATTGAATGAAGATAACACAGTCAATGAATAGAATGTTGTTTGGAGTTGATGTAGTCTTGCTGAAATCGGTATTAAGCAGGTAAACTAGATCTCCAACTCTGGACTTTTTCCCTCTCCTTTCTATTTACCAACCTCCCCACAAGGCAAGATGTGGCACAAGGCTAGTTTTTTTTTAACGTAGGGCGTGTCGTACTTGTAGGTTCGCGCAAAAACTGCCCCTAGATCTCTTATACGCGGGGTCGGGTTTCTCTACCTCCCCAAACGAGACTCTGTCCTTCGGCATAGCCTCGCCTGGGTTCCTCTCTGCCGACAAGAGAGGAAGAAGAAGAGAAAACACCCTCCTCGACCTCTCACTCCTTCTCCTGACGATACTCGGCATCAGTCTACAGGTATCTGGACGAGTCCAAGTCCTCTTCTGGAGAGGGGTGTTCATTTCCGCAACACTTTTGATGTAATGAATATGCATACACCTGGGTTCCCCTCACATTAATATGATTGGCTGGTGTCAGCTATAAATACAGACTGATGTGGAGGTACAAGAGGACGCCTATTGCCTACGCCTATTGCCTACCACTACGACGAGGACCAGTCCATTACGGTTACCTGCTAGATTGTCCTACTCGGTCACAGTAGTCCAAAACCACTTTGCTACTTCGAACAAATATATCCCTTTCCGGGACATATCAACTTTATAAGCGCTAAAGAAACTAGGATTCCCTAACAATGTTCTGTTTATTATCGATATTTGTGGTTTACTTTTTTATTTTAGCCGCTCAGTTTTCGAATAGCCCAAAGGCAAGATGATACAATATTTACAAAGCATGGTTTTCCTTGTGCATTTCCGTTTCGATGTTTCTTAACTTCGCTGATAGAACAATAATCCGGGCCCTTCAGTGTGACATGCTTACTTTACAGCAATTTATAATAATAATAATAATAATAGCTGGCCACTCGTATTCGAGGATACGCGTCTACTAGGGCAGACTCTCGCCCAGGCACATTTGTGTTTGTTCAGTACCCACAGAGCCAACCTATGGTTTATACTGCAACTGTGCTGAGCAGACCTTAGTTAGAGTTTCTGGCAGAGGGCGTGTTATCCAGAATGATCAACAATCTGAACAACACCAGCACACTCAAACTCTCGGTCACGATGACTTGTGACTTCGTGCTAGCACAGCTATCGATGACACCCAAGTGTTCCGTCTACCCAATTCCACTCCACAAGGATTGGATCAACCCGTGGTATGGTTTTTCAGGCACCTTTCCAAAGGTGTCGAACGTTGGGATCATAACCCCTCCAGGCTGATAACATATATATATATATATATATATATATATATATATATATATATATATATATATATATATTCAAACCTAATGAGCTAGACAAACCTGGGTAGGTTTGTTTGGCTCACTAGGTTTGACTAGTTCTGCTCTACGGTTGTATTGAGCTCTTTTTAGTTAGTTGTTTACTCTTTTCGTGGTTTTTTTCTTTGGGCTTTGAACCTGTATCTGTGCGATTTTTTCGACAGACTTTCATGTTTCTAGCTCTTTCGTTTTTAAAACCTTTTTTCCTTCGAGATTGATTTGATTATTGGCAAATCAAAAATTCGAAGGTTTTTTGAGACGAGTATATATATATATATATATATATATATATATATATATATATATTAATAGATAGATATGAACAGACTGAGATAGATAGATAGATAGATAGATAGAAAGAATGAAAGAAAGAAAGATGGGTAGATAGATAAGTATTGAAAAGACTGAGATAGACAGATATGAACAGACTGAGATAGATAGATAGATAGATAGATAGAAAGAAAGATAGATAGATTTTGAAAAAACTGAGATTGGTAGATAGATATTGAAAAGACTGAGATAGATAGATATGAAAGACTGAGATAGATAAATAGAATGATAGATAGATACATATTGAAAAAACTGAGATAGACAAATATGAGGAGACTGAAGTAGATAGATAGGTGCCCCACGCTGGGATCGTCCTTGATCCAGACCGATAGCATCTGGAAGTGTCTTTCCTGTCAAATCGAGCACAGAGAGATTCGAACCCGGGTCTTACGGTCAGAATGCGAACATTCTAACCACTCGGCCAGCAAATTTATACGGATCCACGAATGCATTCACTGTGGTGGACAGAACTTTTACAAGCCGCTCACGTTTCCTATGAGATATTTTGTTGAAGTGGGGCCAACGGTCACTGAAATTCTTTTAGTTTTTTATTTTGCCGAGTTCTTTTCACCTGCCCCCTCGCGCGCCCCATGCCATTTCATTGCGATCTTCTGAAGCATTTTGGGGGAGGTTCTTGACCAAGCATTGATCTAAAGAGACAAGATGGATTATGGGAAATATACGAGATTTTATAATTTACTATTATTGTTTATTTGGTGAGTTCTGGGAGTGACGCAAACAAATACGTGGTTGAGCGAGTTCGGGGTGGGTGGGGGTGTAATGAGAGAAAACGGGGGGGATTTAGGTGGGGCGAGAAAGTACATGCGAAAAAGGGGCGCGGACAGAGCGATAGTGAGAGAGAGAAAGAAAGAGGAAGTGATAGACTATAGAGACGGTATGTCTTCATCATTCAGACTGTTCCTATCTATCTATCTATCTATCTATCTATCTATCTATCTATCTATGACGACATCAATCTGGATTACTATCTCTCTGCCTATCTCTCACACTATACTATGCCATCTATCTATCTATCTATCTATCTATCTATCTATCTATCTCAGTGTATTAATATCTATTTATCTATCAGGACATCACGCTAACTTACTATTCTTCTGCCTGTCTCTCACACTATACTTGGCCATTAATCTATCTATCTATCTATCTATATCTATCTATCTATCTATCTATATATATATATATATATATATATATATATATATATGACAACATCTCTCTAGATTACTATCCTTCTACCTATCTCCCATGTCATACTAGGACATCTATCTGAGTAAGACACCTCTCCTAAAAGCTGCCACTTCCCGAGTTGATGCTTGCCGACTCGTGTATGAACTCAAGCGTAAATCCGGCCAATGTTTTTGTACAAACTCAACTGTCAAAGCTTCCTATATTTGCCTATAGCCTCAAGTTTACAGCTGAAATCTTTTACCCATAGACTCAAGGTTGTTTATCAATAAATTAAAATATAAACAAAGCCAACGTTTAATTAGAGCTTCCAGTTTAACCTCGGCCAATGTTTACTTATAGACATCAGTTATATTGCTGAGGTTGGTTGTTTATAAATTGAAATATAAATTCGACAATGTTTAGTTGTAGACTCAAATATAAACACGGCGACTATTTGCCTGTCGGCATAAGTGTAAATCTGTCATTTTTTTTTATAGATTCGTGTATATCACAACCAATATTTGCTTACTCAAGTATAAACCACACAAATGTTTACCTACAGACTAAGGTATAAAGCTGACATTGTTTGCCCATTGTCTCAAGTATAAAGCTGACATTGTTTGCCCATTGTCTCAAGTATAAAGCTGAAATTGGTTGCCTATAGAAGCAAGTATAAATCTGAAATTGTTTGCCTATAGACTCAACTCTACATCTGAAATTGTTTACCTATAGACTCAGGTAAAAAGCTGAAATTGTTTTCCCATTTTCTCAAGTATAAAGCTGAAATTGTTTACCTATAAGCTCTTGTATAAAGCTGACATTTTTGCCCATAGTCTCAAGTACAAACCTGAAATTCTTTACCTATATTCTAAAGTATAATTCTGAGATTGTTTACCTATAAACTCAAGTATAAACTGAAATTGTTTATCTATCGATTCTGGTATAACTCTGAAATTGTTTGCCTATAGACTCAATTCTACATCTGAAAATGTTTACCTATAGACTCAAGTATAAAGCTGAAATATTTTGCCCATTGTCTCAAGTATAAAGCTGAAATTGTTTACCCATAAGCTCAGATCTAAATTCGACAATATCTACTTGTAAATTCAAGTATAAATTCGTAAAGTTTTTAGCCATAGATTAAAGTATAATAAAATAGTTCCGCTATTAGATTACCCATAGGGTTTGATATGTTGTAAAATCCCCTAAGCTGACCTAAATGTCCACCTCTGACCCTGCACAAGAAATAGTCGCGAATTTAACAACATTTCTGACCCAATGCAAAGTTTCACTATTTTACTGAATTTGTGCAAAGTTTTACTATTTTACTGAATTTTGCTACAAATTTTGCTGCTCTGGCGCTTAGGATGTTATTGATGGTAGTTGAGGTTTTAAGACGAAAACTCCTGAAACATGTATGCAAGGCTTCTTTTATGTTCCGTGTCCCTTCAGGACATAGGCGATCATGGCTCTCCACTTCCTCCTATCCTTTGTTTTTTTTTTATCCCTTTGCTACTTCCCCCAAACCAGCAAAAAGAAATAATGAAAAAGGAAATAAAAGTAAAAGAGGAAGAAATGAAAAATAATAAAGAAAAAAGGAAAGAAAAAGAAAAAGAAGTGGAAAAGAAAAAAAAAGCGAGTGGAGAAAGAAAGAAAAAAATAAAAAAAATTAGAAAATGTGAAGAAAGAAAAAAAAATGAAGAAATAAATAAAATAAAATGGAATAAATATTAATGAAAAAAAAAAAACGAAAAAAAAATGGAAAAAAGAAAAGAAAGAGAAATGAAAACGAAAAACAGAAATATTATGAAAAGGAAAAAATGAAATGAAAAAGAACGAAAGAAAAAAGGAAACGAAAAGAATAAGTAAAAGAAAAAGAAAGAAAATGAAAAAAGAAAAAGCAAAAATAAGCAATGAAAGAAAAGAAAGATAACAAAGAAATAAAAAAGAAAAGAAAAAAAAAAGAAAGAATGAAAGAAAGAGAGCACTTAAGATACTTCGGTATGTGTTCAAACATTATATCCATTGTTTTTCGACTTTGGCGTCGTAGGCTTAACCATGAGAGAAACAAAAAGCCAATTCTCTGGGGTGAGATAATGGGACATTCTTTCCAACGAATCAATGCCATACTTTATCATTTCAAGTGGTTCTTGTTGTCTATCGTTTCTACCCTCGTTTTTGTCTATAACACAGGTGTGGTCAACATATAGCAAATTCATGTCAAATATTCAACCTTACAGTGCCTTATTTCCTTCATTTAGAATTCGCTATGGAAAGTTGACTTTGCAAGGTGATGATTGAAATAGATAGATGTTTGTTCTTGCATACAGGTGATTGAAATAACCTCCGCGTTGTCTATACTTATTACAGGATGAAGTCGGAACATTCCAGGCGAAGGTAAGTAAAAAATAAAATATACACACTTTCACCACAACATATATTTAGGTTTGTTACACTACGTTCCGTTCATGCCTGTTTATAGTTGGAGCTTAATTTCTTGTTGCTGCTACAGTGTAAACATGGCCGCTCCGCTAGCAGTGTGCAGCAAAGAGGAACAAAGATTCGGATCACAGCAAAGAGCTGTGATCCGAATCTGCAGAGAGCATGCTGCGTCATCGATGATAACTCGCCGATTCACCTTTACTATCTGTCAAATCTCGTCAGTGTTGGAGGGTGACGGGCGTCCTTCTGCTTCTGTTATGGTCCCACTCTCTGAACAAGAAAAGCATGTACCCCCAAAAAGGAGAACCAGTCAGCATCCCTGGGTGTTGTCAAGCCGCAGAAAGAAGACTATAGGGTTGAATAATCCCGGTAGGCTTACCGTGCGCCTAAACAGCGACCTAGGTATTTCTAAACCGCCTCCATGACTGTTCTAGATGGCCACTGATCCTATTAAAAGAAGTCCCGTGGAGGAACCGGTTTAGTAGTCGATAAATCGGCCATGTAACAGGTAGAACCAGTAGTACTCATAGAGTGAGCTGATGTATATACACACATACACTTGTAAAATCCCCAGTCGCCATGTTTTGTAATTACCTGCTCTTGTTCTTTCGATGGGATCGCGGGGGGGGGGGAAGAGGGTAATGGTTAACGAATCAGATGTAGTTTCCATATCCAACAGTAGGCTTTTACGGGATGGTGTTGCTAGCCTTGTACTCAACCGGTTTTGAATTCAGAGTCTTTCTTCTCCTAGACCACGGCTGAACAACCCAGTCTGACCTACTATTTAACCATAGCTGGGGAGAAAAGATGGATTCACTGATTGCCTGTAAGGGAATGCATTGAACCCGACTAGAATACGAGCACCACCCTCCGATTTCTCATTCCGATTCGTTAACCATTACACCACCAGCAACCTCGTCAAAACGTCGTTCTTCATCTTGAAAAAAAAAAATTAGACATTCAACTTAGTTTTTACACATTTTGTTAAAAATCGGGATCGTTTGAGCGAGAATTGGCTGTGTTATTCGACTACAAAATGATGTCATTCTTTTTTTTGGGGGGGGGTGTTACCCTGTATATTGTGATCCCTAAAGTGGTAGAATTTCATTGCTAATTTTTGTTTTTTATTTCAGAGTGACAAGTGTCGCCCTAAATGACCCAACACCTGACACAGCATGTACGTGCTCAGCTACCAACCCGTTACGAAGTGGGGCAGGCCGTGATACAAGTGCAGAGATGGTGGCGCAGAATTCATGAACCTCGTGCTTCAGTATATGCCAAATCTATCAGAAATTGTCATTCCAAGCTGATGAGTGCTGGATCTGTGGGAGGCATCGATAGAAGCGATCGTCCTTCAACATCCAAGACTGGAAGAAAATGGGCGAAACGTAGAATTTTAACAGTGTACTACATTTCTACCATTATACAGTTGATAATAAAACACGTTTTATGAAACTCGACCAATAATTAATAAAGTTATGCACAATTTTAAATAGACAGTTTCTTTCCACACACCTTGTATATACAGAAACATATTTTAAAAAAATTCAAATATAATTTTAAAATTTCAGCGTCCTCTTTTTTTTCAAGCGCTGATGTAATCACATCAAAGTAAATATTACTATATATATATATATATATATATATATATATATATATATATATATATATATATATATATATATATATATATATATATATATATATATATATATATATATGGATATCGATCCGACAGTATGAAGAAAAATATACGGAAAAAACAAACAAAAATCCTAATATGCAATTATGCTGTTTTAATGTTAATATAATGTCAACGTCGGACGTTTCGATCTAATAGACCATCTTCAGGACATATTCATAAAACATAATTAACATAGACCATATACAATTCAACATGAAAAAGACGATGGACATAAAAGCAAAACCAAGCCAAACAGATAACTGAAATCTTTTATAAGATCAGCGTCCCGTTTAAATACTCAAATTTTAGGAACACGTTTTCACAACATCGCCCACGTGACGACGACGTGATCATATTTAAATATATTATATATATATATATATATATATATATATATATATGTCATTCACAGACAGTACTGTTTCGCTGTATCACAGCTACTCAGTGCAACTAGACAACCCAATGCCTCATCGAAACCCAACCGATTTGGTGTCAGTCAGAGAATCTACC